GACGTCAGTAATCGGTGAATTAAACGAAACAAAATACAAACCAAAAAAACAAGCGAAACATAATACAGTGGAGGACGGCCTATGAGCCTATATCGTAAACACAGAATCCATAGCCAGACTCTTGTATATTAAAATTTGATTTCGGGTTTTGCGTGTGTCGTGATATCGACCAAATGCGGTATCGGCAATTACGTGACTCAAAAATTACGCGACGCGTGACGAAATCGGACGTACCCAATTCCCAGGCGGAGCTATTTTAGCTCACTCGTCACCTTTACTTTACGCACTAAGGTGAGTTTTGTGCCGTAGTATGCCTCTGTTGGTAGGGATAAAAACACGCTGAATGCGGCTTCTCTAAATTGCAACATCTGAGGTCATACTTTTGAAGCGGCCAGGCGTCTCGCCTTTCTCATCGCATGTGCTTAATTATTATATCCTTTCGACGCTTTGAGTCACCGTCACGCCGTACCATGAAATTCGAATACCACTCTAGCTACGAAAATTCGCGCGCTGCTCGGCACTTCGCAAGCTATTTTACTGTTAATAAATTATTTCCAAATTTGTGGCTATGTATACAGTGAAATTACGATGTAGCTTATCCTATCGTCGCCGTGTAGATCTATCTCTTCTTTTTCTTCTTCTTCATCTGCTGCTCCTCTGTTGGTTTTTCATTCTCCATCTTCTCCGTCTGCTCTCCCTCTTCCGCTGGAAGGCCTCGTTCTCTTCTCATCTTCTTCCTCTTTCGCTCTTCTTCTTCTCTTCAGCTGGGGAATTAGCTCGATATAGGTAGCGAATGCAGATCGCTGGATCCTCCACCAATTATTGTACTGGGAAAGCGTTGACGATCTCCGTGTAGTTCTGTAGCGTCGACAGCGTAGATCGAGTAGCAGCGTAGTCGTGTGATAACCAGTAGCGAGTAGACGTAGTCGCAGATTTTTGTTGAACTAGGACTTTATTAGTAAACTCGCCCACATACAAAATATATACATACGTACGGCAACCCAGGTGGGTGACCGTGCCTAGGTCCCGTGGTCTCAATCTCTCTACATCATGGTAGGTAACCCCTCCTGGGTAGGTAACCTCCGTAACTCTGTGACTCTCTCTAAATCTTATCTCTTGTGTATTTTTGCTTGTCAATTGCTGCTTATATATATCGGCTCGAAACCGGATCTAGCAGAAACCAGACCTTAGCTAAAGCAGCAAGCGACGCCCGTTCGCAGGTGCGTCCTATCCCTAGCGCAAGGCGGATGCGGGAGGACGCGCCCGTCTATTGTCGTTTGCGCGCCGCGTCAACCACTCCTATACATGTAGATGCTCTAGGTGTGACGTGCCTAGCGTCACGTCCCGTTACCACCGCTTGCTGGATACAATATAATATATATTATATTATAATAGTAATTATTGCAATAGTAACAGGAGGACGGGTGCGCGTGTGTGTGCGTGCGCGTGCGTGCATGTGCATGTGCATGTGCGTGCGTGCGTGCGTGCGTGTATATGTGTGGCGTGCGTATATACATACATATATTAGCCTGACCAGGCGTAGGGAGAAGCGCGGTATATATATATTCCCACACATAATAAGCTCACGCATGCACGGTTGCACAAACACACATACATAAACGGACACAGACGCGCACACACACACACACAACACTACACACATCACACACCACACACACTCACACACACACAACACACCCACACCCACCACCCACACACACACACACACACACACACACCACACACACACACAACACGACACACACACACACATCACAGCACACTACACCCACACACAACCACACAGTCACACACAAACACACACACCTACACACACACACACTACACACACGACAACACACACAACACACACACACCACACACACACACAGCAGGAGGAAAAGATGAGAGAGAGAGAGAGAGACGCGCGCACACACACACGCACCCACACTCGCATACACACATAGACACACACCCAAACACACGCACCCCGCATATATTATAACATACGTATATGTATTTATATAAAGAAATTATTATTTTCTTTACCACTACACTTTTCTCAAACATTCCCATACTCTTTGCCTAAAGCTGCGTGTTACTATAACTATAATTACTATAATATAATTACTATACTATAATTACTATAATATAATGACTATACTATAATATACTATAATTACTATAATAACTATACTATATCTATAATACGTAATATTGCTGTTACAGGTGACATCCGCGTTAACGAGCAGCCAGGTCTTACGAGTTTCCACACGCTACTGATGCGAGAACATAACCGAATAGCCACCATCTTAGCTTCCAGGAACCGCAACTGGGACGACGAGAGAATCTATCAGGAAACCAGAGCAATAGTCGGTGCCATCGTGCAGCACATCACGTACAACGAGTTTCTGCCGCCGTACGTCTTGGGCGAGGACCATGTCGAGATACAATTGCCATCGTTATACTAGCTCACATGCACCTAGCGTTGATGCGACGATCGCGAACGAGTTCGCAACGGCAGCGTACCGATTCGGACACACTCTTATTCCGCTTGACCTGATCAGAGTTTCTAGCAGAGACCAAGGCACCTCGCGCGACGAGCTCGCACACAAGGCTTCTTTGACCCGGTCGACACGTTGTTACGGACACACGGTCGCGTATTCGGTGCCCAGATCGCTCGCTGATCGGCGACTCAGCTCGGGCAGGTCTCGGAAGCGCCCGACGAAAACTAGTTGACGCCGTCAGAAACAAACCTCGGAGCGAGTAGCAACTATGGTTCGGAAGCAGACACCTTGACTTGGCGCTCTGAATATCCAGGGTCGCTGGCCAGAGATCACGGACTGCGTTAAATAGTAGACAGCTGCTGCGCCTTCCAGAGGCTATATCCAGCCAATTTTCGGAATTCAGCGAGATTCCGGGAGATATCAGAGCAAAACTACAACGGGTTTACAGGTGCGTGAAATTATTCGCATTAACATCGCCTACTCCGCTACCGCACGGCCGAAACAGTAACTCTGCAAGGCTCTGGTCATTTTTGATCACGAACAATGAGCATTTGCGGCGTTCGAGACACTAAATTATTCTAGCCGTTAAGGTTTTTGGCGTGTATTACAAGCCGTAAGTGGTTGACAAGTGGTTTCGGTAAATTAGTTGTTACGAGAAAATAATCGCAAAATCGTGCGTTGAAGGCACACATGATTCGTCTTTATATTCGGCACACCCAATCGCAATTTTATATACGAGTAAAATTCTCCCAGGCGCATGCTGAAACGACCAATCCTTTGCTCGAACGATATTGTTACAGACCCATTATATATCGTAGAATAATATTCCATTTTCCGCTTGCAGAACAGCAGATGATGTTGACCTCTTCACGGGAGGCATTTCGGAAACACCTGTTCTCGGGGGTCTGGTCGGCCCAACGTTCTCCTGTATCATAGGGAAACAGTTTGAGGAGCTTCGACTTGGCGACAGATTCTTTTACGAAAATCCCAACTCATTCACATCAGGTATGTCGTGCTACAAAGCCAGTCAATCCGATAACACAGGCTCGGTCATTTTTGATCAGAAACAATGAGCATTTGCGGCGTTCGAGACACTAAATTATTCTAGCCGATAAGGTTTTTGGCGTGTATTACAAGCCGTAAGTGGNGTGTGTATGGCTTGCCGAACTTCCAAACTACAGCCGCTTACGACCGGTAGCATGACTACGGAGGGTGTGCACGACATGGTCTTAACAACTTTGACAGATAATTTAAGCTGACAAACGTAAGCACAGCTGAAACGACTCGCCATCGATGGATATACGAACTGGTAACTAAGAAATATTCAGCGATGTCGTAACAGTGTCTGGGAAAAATTCGTGTTTAGGATCTAAAAATCCTCGCTCATAACCGAACATGTCAGTTTATCTACACGCCGCACTGTTCATCTATATAATAATCTATAAACGCGGAACTCTCCCTAGACTGTCTCTGTGGCCTCAACGCACGGTTCTACTGCACATGCATGACCCCGCTGCAGTCAGTGCAGCACAGGGAACTTCACGCCAGTCTTGAATCTAACCGGCCACTTTTCTTCTAAGCAGCTTTACGCTCAAACGGAGTTGAGCAAACACAAGAAAGCTTTTCTAATTCGTCACTTAGAGCATTCCAACGAATGTGCTGTAAAATTTTAAGTCGGCTCGTACCAGAGGCGCTTAGTTTCATATTTGCTAGTTTTATAGGCTCGTAAGGCGCTTAGTTTCATATTTGACATAACCGTACTGTCATATATACAGTGAAATCCGGCACTGCACGCTGATGCAACCAGTCGGAATGTAATAATCTATTTTCATTCGGCTCGCAACCAAAGCTAACGTCATTAAAATACAATTGCTGTGAGTTGAGAAAGCAATTAATCGGGAAAAAAACTAATTATCTTAAACATTCCTATATCTCATGCACTACGTGGCCCTAGCTCAACATTAAATCTGTGTCTATCGCTTTCACTTTCATGTAGACAGTTACGCCCTAGGCACACACACATTGCCTAACTATTTGCGTGCGCGTGTAAGCTATACGTGCGTCTATACGTGCGTCTATGCGTGCGTATAGGCAATGACATATCCGTATGGCGATCTATCCCCACAGTACTGCCTCATTACAATCGTGTAGGACAAGAATAAAACTTGGCAAAACGTTTTCTATCCTGGAAAATATTCTTTTAGCCGTAAAGTATCCTTGGCGTCTATCCTATACGTATTGGCAAAATCGTATAAATGAATAGAACGCCAGATACCGCTTTATTGGATACATAATTAAGGATTTGTATAACTGTTAAACATTTTATTCCTATGTTGATTACATAAGTGGGTTCTTATGTCATTGCATTGCTACGTGTAATGCTGTAACCGCAGGCTCTGCAGCAGTATCTGCGCATTTATTATTACCACGATACAAATTACAGCTATATATGAAAATGTACGATTTACTACTGATCTTGAGATACGCGCTCACGGCTCAATTCCGTAAATGTATCCGACTGAAAATTGCTCGTGTTTTTTTGCAGAATTAACCGGGATATTCTTCTACCAGATTTCTTTAAGAAGTCTTTTGACAGGTAATTGGTTATAGGTTTCATTATAGTAGTCAAATGGTTTTATTTCACTATTGCATATTTTGAGGTTGTAAGATTACATTGGTAAATGCTATAATAGACCCATAACCGTGGAATTGCACGCATTTTCTTATTTTTCGCATCTTGTAATTTATTAACTTACAAGTCAAACTAAGCAGCGCTTCAATGTAACACATCCCTCGTGACTATTAGTATTCTAAGTAATAGCCAAACGAACGAAAGACTAATGAGATCATAATAGATTACTGAAAGCTAAATCCGTAATCTGAGAAGGAGGCGCACGACAATGGTTGCCGTTAAAATTATTTATTCTGTTTTTCAGCAATTACATCGCACCATGTAGAAACATTCCAGCTATGAATCTCGACCTCTGGTCAGGTCTTCAAAGGAATGACAACGTTAACGGAGGCCTACCTAGTAGAATTGGGAGCTCGAGACCTGTAGTACAAAGGCCTCGTTCCAACAACAGACCACAATTTACGACAACGCGGAGTCCATTCTTTAGGAACGGTTTCTTTGACAGCATTAGGATACGTAACTGATAGGATACGTACCGTATTAGTATCCATCCATTTAGTTATTCCTAATCGCGGCAACAGTAATTCGCTGTGGCTTCCGTCATGCAATAAATTGGATTAGAATAGCGCTGCGATCCAAAGCACTCGCCGTTGTCACAAAGTTTGCGAAATATTAGTTACTGAATTTCCGACATCCGCAAACTTAATATATATTCTGTACACGAAATATATTAATAAACGATTTTCTAGCGCCACACAAATCTGATTATGACAGTCGTTTAAATACTGGTCTGTATCACTCTCAATCGTAGCAAACTAATGTATTTATAATAACAATCGCACTATAATATTCATTACCAAACGGATAGGATGTGCTGTGGATAAGCCTTGTATTTAAATAGCTAAAACGTGGCCGCAGATATTACCAATAAATGCTATCACTCGGACCAATGTGGTATAAATAGTGTACAGCATAAATTGGTATTTTCACGTAAATTTTTTACGCGCATCATGTGCTATAGAGAGATACATGCACATGTCGAGTAAGTAGCGCAACGCTGTAGCGCCCTAATGCGGTGCTTATCGCGTATACGGCATACTTGAAGCGCGATAACACCTTCAAAACAACAAAACGAGCAGGTGCTAACTAACATCAGTGAAAGACAAAAGTAGTTAAATCACCACACTCCAATATTCATAATCTAGAAAATAATTACACCGGACGAAATAAGACAGATATTTAGCAGTAACAACACAGAGAAGCATGCTCCGCAAGAGAAAGAGAAGACCTGTGAGGTTGAATGGGTGGGTGGATTGATGGATGTACAGGCAGACGGACAGACGAACGAACGGATTGATGGAGGAATAGGAATAGAGAAAGCAATGAAAACGAAGAGAAGAGGGGAGGAAGAGATAGAGAGAAGGAGTGTGTGCGGGCCTTGTGACATTCCTGCAAAGTGCATGGTGTTACTCTGCTGGTACTCACGGCAAGATTGAGGTCAAGGCTTTGTTATTTGACATAAATAATTGTTCCTATACTAATGTATCTCACACGCAGCAAGGTGAGACCAACATGTCTGCTCCGTTGCGCTTTGAATGCTAGTTATGCACTGCTCAGTGCTGTCTGTGTAAA